AAGGACAGGAAGGCCTGGCGCGATATGGTTCATGGGGTCATGAAGAGTCAGACACGACTCAATGACTGAACAACAACAATCTGATACCTGAATCTATCCTGGGTGGATCAAGAGAGGAGACAGTAGAAGCAATGGTTAAGATCAGTTTTACCTGTCCCTCTCGGTCTTTCTGTTCTGTCCTCTGATCTACTGTGGCACTCATCAATTCCACAGAGGCACAGTGTCTGGCAAGGAGGGTGAATAAATGTGACAACACAGAGATAAAGAAGCGGTCCCAGTCACTTTTTGTAATCCTGGCTTGAAGACTTGTTATCATTTACATGGCAGCTGATTTCTCTGGGGTTTGTTTCTTTTCTTCCTTCCTTTTAACAACAATTCTGCATTGTGCTCCCCATGCGGCTAGATATTTTTATGGAATGAAATATTTTAATTGTTGCTTGAGGCAAAAGGTGCCCAGCACCAAGGTTTCAGTCACTTCACATCAGAGACAGAATTTCCGTCAGCTCTGGCAGCAGAGGGAGGATGAATAAATACATTCATTCACCCATGAGACATGTATCTCATCTCTGCTGTCAGGATTAACTCTACTCATGCACTTAAGAGGGCTACTTTCTCATCTCCTTTTTATTTTCAGGAACTCCCTTCCACTCTAATCCATAAGCCACTTTCAGACAATGGTGGCACAGCTTTATAATGCATTCTTTCCCCCTCCTAAACCAGGCTTCTAAGAGAGAATTGCTGAGAAAAGAATAGATGAGAACAATGGAGTTAGGGCTGCAATGTCATAATGGAAATTTGTGAGCAAATGAAGAAAGAATTTGTGTACTGTGAAGAGGAAAGATGCTGGCAAACAAAAGGAAAACTAACGTGCGGGCAGGGTACATGTAGAATAAAAGCAGACCAAAGAAGAGAATAGCAAAAGGTGCCCAAGGAAGCTGGGACTGAACCATGTTGGTTAGTTGAATTAATGTGGGTTTGTTCTTATTTAATAACTATAAAGATAGTAGGCATTTGATTGCTTCATACGCTAATTCCTCTCAGGTTCTATCAGGGCCTTCAGCAGGCATATTTATTTGTGAGCAATGCCTTCTGCTCTTAAGTTCAAGGAATCATATCCTAAAATGTTGTTCTTAATCTACTGGCCCACTCCCAAATGAGTCTATAGGTGCTTATGGGCTTCATTGATTGATTTCATTTATACAAATATATGCACTGCTTACCAGGTGCTTAAGAAATGTATAATTAAAAATGATAATTAAGAAGTTCTCATAAAAGTAAGGAACACAGGGACAAAAACAAAACAAAGCAGCTATAAAAATCTTGAGGGCAGCATTAACATTAACACTGAAGAGCGTTAAAATATCATACAGGGTTAATGATCTTTACTCTTGTCTAACACAAAATCTTACATCCCTCAAGAACTGCCATCTCCCATTTTGCGTCTTCTAGATGTCTTGGGTCCCCAACTATTGGAATTCTCAACCAATTGTTATCTGGGGATTTTTAAAGTTCTGGTCCCAACACATCTGAGGATATCAGGCTAGGGAAGGCTGGCAGATATGGAAGAGAAAACCCACACAGGTGCATTCTCTGACAAGTCTTTTCTTCTACCTCTGTCTTTGATTCCACTAATACAAATCACCTTTTCCTACCTCGTAAGATGCTCTGCTAGCTACTCCAGGTCTGCCCTTTTCCCTCCTATTCAAAAAACAATCTCAGTGATTCACAGCAAGGATGCATTTAGTATTACCAAATATTCAAAGTGTTTCTTAGCCACATTACTGTTATGATCCTTAGAGTTCTACTTACTCAAACTGATGTTGTACTTTTGTACTGTGCTGGATGGAAATTATGGAAGAGTAACACCTTTGAAGGGCACCAAGCTAAGTTACCCTGCTTTATAGCATGGACATGAGCACAGTATTGCATGAAAGTAGGAAACGAAGAATGATAGAAAGTCACTTACCTACTGAGATCAGACCAGAAAGGACTACCCTGATCCATAGCTCAATCACTTCTCTATTATGCTTCATCAGCAAATATACCATCATCCCAGCCTATCTGCTTCAGACTATTACCTGACCTTCAGAGCTTAGCCACCAGCACTCTCCCATTCACTGTACTAATATAAAATCCACACAATTAACTTGGCATTATAAAACATATGACAATATGGTCTAACAGCTACCTCAGAGAATTCAACTCATATACCCAACACACGCAAAGCAACTAGTATCTCTGACTGAAACAGCTAACCCTCAAAGTGGGGACTCCCTGCTAGTCCTAGCAAAGACCAAATGAATGGCCCCAGCTCCATTAGGTAATGACATTCTTTTAGGTTACAGCACTAGAATAGAGCCAACAACATCCCAGTCAGAATTTTTTTTTATCCCCCCCCTTTATTATTTTTATAAATAACTCAAGGCAGGCAAGCATACCTAATACTCCGTCCTCTTCCTCTTTTCCCCACAACAACAACCCTGTGAGGTGAGTTGGGCTGAGAGAAAGTGACTGGCCCAAAGTCACCCAGTTGATTCTCTTCTCTGCCACTCACAACCAAAGATCCACACCCCCAAATATACCCACATTTAGAATGTCTTACTTGTACACTTTTTGATAGCACTTCCTTTCTTGAGAGCATGGCGACTTAGCTTGCAGTGAAAGTTATCCTCCCAAAATTCAGCAAACCAAATGTTCCGGCGATTATTGTCCAGTGTCCTACTAGAGAAATAGCGATCAAAACCTAATGAGGGAAACAGATAATAAAAACGTGAGGTCTTAAGGCCAAAATAAATGCAGCCAGCTATATGGGGGTAGACAGCAAATCTTAAAGGATAAAAGGGAATCCTTGCTATTGAAATAACATTTTAAAAATAATAGTTATGTATAAATGCATGCCCACTACTTGAAGGCTTATTTGTTAGCTTGTAATGAATATTGAAGAGCCTGGAATTTTTCAAAATCATCTTCAACATGTGTTAACTTGCACCATAGGTTCAAAAAAAAAAAAAAGGTAGGGGGGAAACCTGCTATTCTTTTGTTTTATTTTGGAAGGAGAGAAGAGTTATAGATCAGAATCTGAGCTCATTCAATTATGACATTTAGTGCTACTTTCCTAATTGAAAATAGTTTGGAAGTGGCATCTGCAGCAAGCCATGATGATGTAAGCTGGAGGACATGGATCTGGAGACATGATGATGCAAATCCTGCACTTATGGACTTGCATCAGATATTGTGATGCATGTACATAACTGCAGCATTTGTGTGATGATGTTATCAAAGCTTGTTATGGACACCGCTGCTAATGCCTCTCAATACTTTAGATTTCTGCTCTCACAACTGCCTGCCATTGGCTATGGTGGCTGGAACTGATGGGAATTGAACACTAGAATATCTTGAGGCACCAAGCTGCATCTCTCTACTTCAGTTGCATCACGTGTACTGTATATATTTTCAGGAAACGTTTTAAAAATTCTAAAAATCAGTGCTGAAACAAATGGAATAAATAGAAACATTCATAAGTAGCATTCACTGGAAATAGCTAGGTTTCTGCATTTTCATTCTAACACGCATTCACACATAGACACATACCTCAAGTTTGAAGATTTGTGTCATGTCAAAAATGCATCACAGCCCATCATATTATTCCACACTTATAGGTCTTTCCCATTTCCCACATAAACGATTCTTACCTTGACAACTCTAAATATTTAGCAAGCATGCACCCAGCATATATTACATTGTATCTTAACAGGATTCTAAAGTTATCTTGTTTAGCTACCAAAAACTTTAGAATGCTCTTCTTCCTTTTTGTCTCTCAAGTTTTAAATCTTTGTCTTTAAAAAAAAAATTATTAAATTGATATGCTGCCCAACTCCCAGTGACTCTTGGTGGTTTACAAATTGTTACAAACATTTAAAAACAAAGAAACAACACAAACAACACAAAAATCACACAACAAAAGAAACAAAGATGACAGAGAAAACAAACCTGGATGAGAGCAAAGAAAAAGAAAAAAAAGGTGGCATCAATCATGCTCACCAAAAGCCTGGGCAAAGAGCCTTGTCTTCATGGTCCTTCGAAATATCAGTAGGGTGGGGGCCATTCAATTCTTGGAGGGAATCTCATTCCAGAGGGCAGGCACTGCTACAGAGAAGGCAGGGCTCTGGGATCCTGACAAATGGCAGTGTTTAATCAAAGGAATCCAGAGCACGCCAACCCTGCCAGATCAGACTGGCTGGGCAGGTACTATGGGAGACAGGCGATCCCTCAAGTAAGCAGGCCCTATGACATGTAAGGCTTTTTAGCTACTGACCAGCACCTTGAATTGCACCCAGAAGCAAACAGTGCAGCTCACAAAGCAGAGGTGCTACATGGGCATACTGAGGTATGCTCATCACTGTCTGTGCTGCTGCATTCTGGACCAGTTGAAGCACGTTGCAGTGGTCAAGCTATCAGGTGACCAGGATATGCATGACTGTCTAAAGGGCCCCTCAGTCCAGGAAATGGCACAACTCATGCACCAGATGAAGCTGGGCAAAGGCCTTCCTGGCCACAGCTGCCACCTGCAAATTTACCTGCAGCAAATTTGAATGGTCAGCTTGGAAATTCTCTGATGTAAAAGCAGATCAGCTTCCAGAGAGGCAATGTATTAGAGCTAAAGTTTGTGAAAGTAGTCAGAGGTTTGTGGCATGCAGTAGCCATCCTACTGATGAATCATCCTACGCCTTCTTCAACACATGCCAGACCATGTCTGGCTGGGAATTACGAATACTGTCATCTGAAACATATGGAAGATACCAAGTTGCCTTCTCTAGAGATTACTAGGGTGGCTGGTCAAAATCTGATTCAATTTTGCAATTTGTTTGACAAATTGATTTGAATCATCAAAGCAATTTGGTGATTTGATTTGATACTACAAAAGTCTGTACATGCATAGAAGTCCAACAAATGTCTGGATTAATTCAGAGGCACCTGATTTGATTCTATGCACCAAACCTATTTGACAATTTGATCTGAAGATTCAATTAGAAAATTGAATTACCTCTGAAGCAGAGCTTCACATGGCCCTCAATGGTAAGTATATTTTTAATCTACTTATCTAGACAGCATCAACAGTTTAGCAATGCCAGATTTAGCTCACAGCCAAAGTTACATTTCTTGAAGGATCATTCATTAGAAAGGAAAGAGCTGTCAAGTGCCATAAGCCCATTAAAGACTTCATTCAATTAATAAGGCTATGCCTTAGGGAAAGAGTCGTAAAGCCACCGTCCTTAGTATTTGTACCTCAACCCCCCTCTGATAGTCATTTTATACCAAGGAAATTAGTTTGTGTTTGGCGTAACTAAAATATGCATGGTTAATTAAGCTTTTGCTATTGGCTCAGAGCAACATAGCTTTGTGAAGTCACAGGCCCATACTCATGGCATTCACTTGTTTTCCTTTCAAAATATATGTTTTCCAGGCTGCTGATTATTCTTTGCTTGACTGACAACTGATTTCAGACCATACCATTTATTTGCACATGCATTTGAGGATGCAGGAAGCTTAACTTGATCTTAAGTCTAAATACTTGCTTTTTCAATTTATAGCAATTTCAAAATAGGCACTGTTAAGGTGCCAGTTTGGTCTGGATTCTCCCCCCTACCACTACCACCATAAATATTTTTTTTCCTTTTTTTTGAACAGCTGTATAAGCATGGGTTGTTTTTGTTTTATCACATGTATATTTCCCTATTTCTTCAAAACTCTCAGCCTGGCTGATATCTTAACATTTTATTCTTTTAACAGGCCTGTGAGCTATCTTTATTATAAAAGATAACTGACCCAAAGACACCCAGTGAGTTTTTTGGTTGAATACCAGAATTCAACCTCAGGTTTTCTTCTATGTTATTTCTTAAGCATTATCCCTGATAAGGGTCTCCATTTTCCCCTGCAGTCTCAAAAAGCTATGACCTAATCTTTTAAGAACTGTATGCAATTATTGAGGCTTCCAGTGAGGAATTGTGGTGGACTGATGTCTCTGAAGGAGTGCAGAGTCACCGCAGCCAAGAACGCAGGCTGGAAGGCGGATGCTGGCCTGCAAAATCTGTCTGGTCAAAGAGAGATCATGAGATAACCCACTTGTACTCCAGACAGTGGCTCCTCATGAGTAAACTACAGAAACAGAAGCTTTTGCAGTTTGTTCGGGAGTTGAGTAGCCAGGAGTCCCTGGATTCTATCTATGCTCACAATTGTGGTGTAGCCTATATGGACAATAAGCCAGCCATCCCCATTTCTTAATCACTTTGGGAAGTAATTAATCTACAGATATAGATAAATTTCTTCTGCGGCAAATATAAGATTCCTTTCAATGAGTTAAACCTTCTTTTGGGTTACAAAAATAAAAAGAGTCTTTAAGGATTTAAACATTCAAGAATTTTTTGCAAAAAGATTAATAAAGAGAAGGTTTGAGAAAGGTTTAAAATGGATAAAGGGGACAGTTATTTTTCTATTTTTTTATTTTTATTTTTGACAAAAGTGCTTTGGCATAAAACTTGAACTAAGCTAGTTAAAGTGATCAGACCTCATGAGAATGTTTTTTCTTTATTGTTAAAGAGTGCGTCTAATTGGCAGACTCTCCATAACAAAAGATAAGGTAATGAACTAGACTGTGATGTTTTGTTGCTATGATGATGTGGTTTGTGATGTGGCTTGAAGTTACAGAGAGCCATTAGAGACAAAAATGTTAAAGCCACAGAAAGATAAAAGAAGGGAAAAGGGAAAAAAGAGGGGAAGCTTGCCTTTTCCTTTTGCTTGGGATACTTTCACTTTTGGATTATAATATATAATAGCAACTACTAGAAAAACATCAAGAGAGGGCAGGAGGGAATTGCTAGAGCAGTCTGCAGAGAAAACAATTACACCAGATTTGCTTCAGAAATTATTTGAACAAATGGGCAATAAGATAGAAGCTTTTGAAAAAAGAATGGATGAAAGACTTGCAAAGATGAAAGAAGAGATGAAAGAAGTCAAAAAGATGAAAAATTCTGCAAACCACATATCTGAAGAGATAAAACAAATCAGTGATAAAATGGAAATTTTAGAGAGTAAAGACAGAAGTTGTAAATAGAGAGTTGAAAAGAGAATTAGATAATCTGGCTTTATTGGAATTGAGAAAGAAAGAATTTGATAATATTTGACTTTAACAAGAAGCTACAGACCAATATCATTATTGAATAATGATTATAAGTTGTTTACAATGATTTTAGCTGAAAGACTGAAAATAATTTTGCAAGAATTTATTCATGAGAATCAATGTGGACTTTTACCTAAAAGACAGTTGAAGGATAATATTAGAACTGTCTTGGACATTTTGGAATATTTGGAACAACATAATGAAAAACAAGCTGCATTTATCTTTGTAGATGCAGAGGAGGCTTTTGATAATTTGAACTGGATTTTTTTGTTTAAAGTTTTGGAAGATACAAATTTTGGAGAGAATTTTATAAAATGGATAACATCGATTTATACTTCACAGACAGCACAAATAATTGTTAATGGAGATCTAAACAAATCATGCTAGATAAAAAAAGAAACAAGACAAGGCTGCCCATTGTCCCCTCTCCTGTTTATTTTAGTTCTTGAAATATTGAATAGAGACATAAGACAAAATGAGAGGATTGTGGGTATAAAGATTTAAAAAGAGACTTATAAGAGTTTCTGCAAATGGTGTTGGTTCTGGAAGGTTCTTTAAAGGGACCTTGGAGCTGAGTTCCAGTCCTAATGACTTCATGGACACCATGTCATTTTCTTGTAGCAGTATGAATGTGTCTTGCCATTGCCTTCTTCTGGGAAGTGAATTATCTGGATCCTTTCCTGTCAGATTTCAGGAATGGGCACAATACTGAGATGACATTGTTTATACCAGTGGGTTATCTTTGGCAGAATCAGATTAGAGACGGTGCAACTCTTCTGATCCTTCATGATTTCTCAGTTACTTTTTCATACCTTCCATCATAGTATCCTTCTTGATTGGCTTTAGGGATTGGGAGTGGAGGACACTGTATTGCAATGGTTCTCCTTCCTCTCTGGCCAGTTCCACTTGGTGTTGGTAGTAGGGAGAGATCAAACCTGAGTCCTTTGCTTCATGGGGTTCCTCAGAGTTTGATGCTTTCCTTGCTCCTATTTAACATCTACATGAGGCTGCTGGGCAAGGTCATCTATTGGCATGAGATCATGTATCACCAATATGTTGATAATACCCAGATGTTTATACCCAGATGACTTCTGACTGATCAAGTGATTTTATTGAGGTTCTGTCTCAGTGCCTGTAGGCTGTTAGGGTCTGGATGGACAGGAACAGATTTAGGCTTAACCTCAATGACAGCAAGAATCATTGTTTCCAAGGGATTTCCAGGTTTAGTTCTGGATGGGACTATGCCTCTGGATGGGGTATATAATCTGGGGGACCTTCAAGATTCAAAGAACAAGTGTCAGTCATGACTTGGAGGGTCTTTGATCTGATTTATCTTGTGTCCAACTGTACTTTTTTCTGGATCAGGGAACCCTTCTCATAGATACTTCTAGTTTGGATTATTGCAACACAATCTATATAGAGCTGTCCTTGAGAGCATTCCAAAACTACAACTGGGCCAAAATAAGGTGGTGCAAGTAGTTATGAGTGCACCTCTGTTCATCCATGTGACACTTCTATTTTGTGAACTGCACTGGCTACCAGTTTGCTTCCAGGTACAATTCAAGATGCTGATGGTAATCTATAATCTTCATAGCCTGGGGCCTAGATATTTACAGGACTGCTTTCTCCAACTGTCTCTGCCCATCCCAAAAAACCTAGCAGAGTCAGAGTCAACTAGCAGTCAGAAAACATGATGAAAACTCCTTAATCTCACAACACATGGCAGACCTAACCATAGTTTCAACTGGGAAACTGTCAGCTGCTTAGACCAAGCTAAATCCAAAAATGCGAGGGAATTTTTGGAAGCTTGGTATTCAGACAAGGCAGCAATTAACAGACACATAGAGATAAACAACATCTACACACTATCCAAAAGAGACAATAGACAGGAAAACAAAAGACCAAACACCTCCTCACCAGCAATCAGCAACCAGAGAAGCAGAGATTAACACCAAGATTACCACCAGACATACAATCAAGCAGTAAACAATACCCTAATCAGGGAACTACCAGAGGAAAAAAAAATAAAAAAAAAAAAAAGATAAACAACATCTACACACTATCCAAAAGAGACAATAGACAGGAAAACAAAAGACCAAACACCTCCTCACCAGCAATCAGCAACCAGAGAAGCAGAGATTAACACCAAGATTACCACCAGACATACAATCAAGCAGTAAACAATACCCTAATCAAGGAACTACCAGAGGAAAAAAAAATAAAACAAAACCCACACCCACACCAACACTAGCAGGGCATGCCACAGTATATAAACAGAAAGCAAACCCCATTCCATTCCAGCACTGAAGATGTTACCTAGCCAGGTAACGAAATGTTTGCAAGAAAACAGCCAAGCTCAGAGAACCCCAAGGACTCCACAGTTCAACCCTTAGCTACACATATTTGCTTCTATTAATATATATCTTCTCTGTCACTATTCCTGCCCTCTGGAACAGCATTCTTCCACTAGGTCTGTGTAGCCCTGTTCCTGCTGTTCTTTAAGAAATCTTTAAAAACTTGAATCTACCAGCAGGCCCTGAGTCAGGATGATTTGTCAGCCAACTGGATTGTGGTAGGATTTTAAGTTTTTATTTCCCCGGCATGGCTGTTTATTATTTTTGTTCTTATTTTATGTTTATTATGTGTTTTTAATTGTTTTGGTCTGCTGCCTTGAGTCATTAAATAATAGGAATGGGAGGGTCATTATTCTGCAAATAAAGCCTTAAGAGCAGCCCACAAACTTGAAAGGAGAAAATGTATACATATGCAAATATATGAAGAACAGGACACTGAAGAATAAACCAAATGAAAGATACAAAAACTTCCACAAACAGTAGTATAAAACATTAAAAGGGGAAGCATTGGAGCAAAAAGATCTCAATTTAATATGAATAGCATTTTGCTTATTTACCCTACTTTTCTTCCTACACAGATCACAGACAGCATGTACAGTACTCCCAAGTTTATTGATCTTAGTTCAGACCTAAATTTGCTGAACTTCAGCAGGGGGTGTATTATATATCCTCAGATGGGACCATCCTGCAACTGGGTCTGAGACCTGGAGTAAGTTACTGATTTTATATTGGACAACAGCACAGAAGACATCTGAGCACCCTGCTTTAGCAAGCTGCTTAATGATACGGATCTCCTCAAAGCAGAAGAGGTGACCTTTCAATCTGGTAGGCATGTCTCAGATTTTGAGAGGACGTAATGAGTGTTTTTTCTTGAAGGGAATGAACAATTACAAAACACCCATTTACTGGAAAACAAATTGATGAGGGTCCATTCTCCTCCATCCCCCAGGATCTCCCTGTACCTCCAATTTACCTTTGTCTTTTGAGGGAGGCAGCTAAGCACATTTTTAAATACAACCCTGAACAGCAACTACTTACTATTTTTCCTTGCTAATTAAAAGAAAATATATGTGAGGCCTATTAGAGAGCCAGTTTGGTCTAACAGTTAAGGGTCCAGGCTAGAAACCAAGAGACTGTGAGTTCTAGTCCTGCCTTAGGCATGAAAGCTGGCTGGGTGACTTTGAGCCAGTTACTTTCTCTCAGCCCACAACGTCAGGTTCAGGAGACAAGCTGGTCAGTTAATTCTTGTTGCAACCAATGGATCAACATTTGGTTGATCTGGAAGAAAAAAAGTGCTCCCTGCACCTGTGGGAAAAAACTAGGAAGAAAAAAAAATTGTTTTGCATTTTATGATTGTGGTGTTTAATATAATTGAAATGAATAAAAGTCTGATTTCTGCAAAGTGTTACAACTGACATGTGACAAATTATTACTGGATATTTGTGATCCATGAAACTGACCACCAATAATTGGGTTTAGCTTCTCTTGGAAATGTTTCCAGCTTCTGTACCAGTGTGCTTGGTAGCAGTATAGTTTTGGTATTTGGACTGACTGTAGAAGTATACATGTTAGTAAAATTCATGGATATTGTCCAGTAAGGTATATTGTATAGTAAAGTAACAATGGACATTGTTATCCATTATTTTAGATTTCTAGCCTTTCAAAATAAATTAAAAAGATATCGTTGGTTGGTAAGAGAAAAGATAACGATGATAGCTTACTGGTAGTGCTAATAAAAACAAACAAAAATCAGGAAAGTACACTGACAACTATATCTCTGATTTCACAACTGTTTCTCCTACTGGAGAAGAAGGTTCTCAATCTGTTGTTTGTAAAAAAAAATGCTGTTCACTCAAAGTATGAAGCCAAGCAGACTAAAATGATACCTAGAAACCAATCACGGAAAAAGTTGTAAGACACATTCATTTCTTGTCTAACCCTAACCTGAATGAAAACACTTAATTGCAGTATTGTTGTCATGTTGCAAAGTTGAGAAATCTTAACCTAAGATTACCACATCTGGCTACAAAACTCTGAATTACCATTAGATGGCAGCAAAAAGTTAGCCTTTCCTCTTTCCTGCCATGGCATGGTTGTCTGGATTTTTACAGCCCATATGTGGCAACTTTAGTATTGCCCCCATTTAATATCCCTTTGTCCATTTCAGCTGGGATACATCATTCTCAATGATCATAACAATTACTGAGCATTTCAGAAAGAATCTTCCAGATGGCACATTGATATGATTGTCTATGGCATGTATAAACGTTAACACGAATAAGCATCAGTGTGTGGTCCCATAAACCAGAAATTTGCTCCATGTTATAAACCATATCTCTGTGGGGAGGAGAAAGTATACAGTAGATCAATATCTACTGGCATGAAAAGTAGGCAACCTTTGCTCTTCCAGATGTTGCTGGACTGCAGATCACAGCATTCTTCATTTGCCATAATGATCAGAGTTGAAATTCAACAACATCTGGAGGGCCATGCATGCCTGTTCTTGAACTAGATCACAAGGTTTTCTGACTCCCAATTGTTTAAGTCACAACAACTAAAATGAATTTGGCTGCTGAAATAAAGAATGCTGGAGTGGGGGGGGGGCAGTAAGATGAGTTGGTTTTGCATTTTTTGTATAAAAGGGTTATAATTTTAGTTCTGATGGGCTGAGCATATACTCAGAAGCATGCTACTCCTTATTTCTAAGTGTGAGACTAGCCTCCTGAGCACTGCTTTGCCCCAAGCATGGCTGATGGAACTGAAGTTTTAATAAAAAGCAGTATAGTCTTTATAAGCATGAAACCTATCCACTCTAGCTCGGAACATCTACTGACATTTTCTAAAGTTTTCCATCAGATTGAGATATCTTTGCAGTCAGGAGCCTGATCATGAGCAAGGCTAAATACAAGCAGTTGTTTAGAAGTAAGCTTCAACACAGCAAAATTCAAGGAAGATCATGGACATTCAAGGGATAGGGCTATAAGTGCACCCCAAATCAATATGAGGTTCTTTCCATAATTGCCAAAAAAAGCATGGAGCACATCTAAATGGATGTTACATGATAAGGATAATGATAGCAGATTTCCACTCGTTATACACTTATCAAAATCTAGAGAACAAGCCAAAATTCTTGAAAATTTCTAGGCTTACCTCTAACAGATGCCCTCTTGGGCAAGATGGTGACAGATCCTTCTGCAACCTCTTCCACATCTCTCACAGGGGCAATTTTGGAACCCCAGCTGTCAGAACCCATCCAGATGAAGTGCCCAGTCTGATTGGCTCGCTTTGCTGCCATCAACACATTCCTGAAGAGACAAAAGCAAACCACCATCTTATGTGATCATCACAATTTTATATTCAGATTGATGCAGGCACTGTGACAGATTGGCAAGACAGGTAGCACCCACACTGTGTTCACTATATGAATTGTAAGTAAAATTAGATTGGCATGTCCAGTCAGTAGCCTATTCAGTTACCAATTTTCATAGCACTAAGTGCTATTTGCCATATTTATTTTTCTGTACAGCATTAGATCTATGGATAAAGATAGAAATCCAAATCCAGATTCTTCTTCAAAGCAATCTTTAATATCTTCAGAGCAAGCATAGCTCAATCAGAGCATATCTACGTCTCACAAGTTGAGTACACAGTGATCCTCTGTTTGCATAGTTTGAAAATATGGGGTATGCATATAAACTATATGATGGATGCTGGACACTCAGGATCAGGCATTTAGGACCTTTTTCACATGCTATTCACATGAAGAAGTAACAGATTTAGTGAGACCATGTATTTCGGAGCAATTTGAGGTTCTACGACACTTCTTAGCACCCATAATATAACCTTCCCATGTTATAAGTAAACTCTGGAAGATATGACCTCAGTGTATAATGGATTCCATGGCAGAAGTTGTCCCTTGACATATAAGAAGTCAGGAGGACTTAGTTACAGGATTGAAGTAAACATGTAGCTTAATCATTTCACTGTTTTTATCTGGCATCTTTGCCCCAATATCTCCCGAAATGATGATATGATGGTCTCTAGGGAAAGTCTGAAAAAAAATGCCTGTGCCATTCTGCATTACCAGACAATCCCATTTTTAATTTACTCCCCACAACCTATTCCAGCTTCTGAAATTACTGCCAAGTCCAGTAACTAGTAAATCCAACATGAGCTCATTGCAGAAGCTGGGAGAAATTTTATTTAGTTATTATTTATTAAAATTATTATACTGCCAACTACTGAAGTCTCTTGGCAACTTATAGTAAAAACTTAAAATCTAAATTAAAAAGGCTGCTAGAAATAATTTAAACAAAATCAACAATTCAAACTACGTTATAGGGCTTTTTAAAAAGCGAGTTCAGCTCCACAGGGAGTTAATTCCAAAGAACCTGGGTGACTACAGAGAAGACTTGATCCCAGGTTGCCTGCAGCAACTTTAACTGAGCCTCCTCAGATGATCTCAACAAGTAGGGAGGGGTAATTAAAGAGGTGTTATCTTATGCCTTGAACCCAAGCCATACAGGGTTTTAAATATAATAATCAGCACTTTGTATTTCATCTGAAACAAACTGATTGATCCTGCAATGCTTTTAGTACAGGTGTAATGTGATCTCTTTGAGATCTTCCAAAGGACAACCTAGCTGCTGAATTCTGTGCCAACTAAAATTTCTGGACTAGACACAAAGGCAGTCCCACAATAGTTTAAGCCTGGGGTTACCAGAATGTGCATTACTGTTTTAAGATCATTTTCTTCCAGGAAGGAAAGGAGCTGGCATATCACTTAAAGCTGATGAAAAATATCTCTAGCTGTTGCCTCAATCTGGGAATTGAAGAGTGATGAAAATCCAGAAGTACCCCAAAACTGTATATCTGCTCCTTCTTAAAAAGTGTAATCCCATTCAGAACAAGGAGACCTACCATCACTCTGGAATCATGGACCCTCACAATGAGCACCTCCATCTTGCCTTTTTCCAAATTCAATATATCACACACACACACACACACACACACACACAATCCATTACCAGCTGCAGGCAGGCATTCAAGAGAATCACTCCTTTATCTGAAGATGTTTCAGAAAAATAAGTCTGGATACATCTGTGTACTAATGACATCCTGCTCCAAACTTCCATGATTTCCTCCAGTATTTTCAGGTAGATAATAAAAAGCAGTGGAGACCAAATAGAGTCCCGAGGGACATCATATAGTAGTTTGTATTTTAAGCAGCAACTGTCTGCAAATAATAATGTCTCCTATTACCAATAAGATAATCCAGATGGATATAATGGCTGATACTATCAAAAGCCATTGAAAAAGGGCGAGTCACACCCCCTCTGTCAATGTCCAAACAAAGATTTATTCACTGTATTTTTACCACAACCAATAAAAGGCTTTACTGTTCCATGATGACCAAGAAGCTGTTTAAAAGATTTTGGGTACAGGAAGATAGAAAACTACTTCACACTCAGTCAAAATGTTTGTGTTTCTAACTGGGAACTGTCTATTCAGATTGATGGAAACTCTACTGGATTGTAAGCAGTGGTCCCAGTGGTTTTACCAGAAGATTGGCAAGGAGGAATTGGATAGTGATGTGCACCTCTTTCGCTTGGTACCTAGAACTTTATATTCCTTTGTAATGGTTGATACAAAATTATCAACCTTTGTTATGTAATACAGAATTAAGCAAGCATTTATTTTAGTCACTAAATTGGGTTCTATTTTATTTTGCCCTGTCCTTGATGGGACATCTGTGTAGTATAGGATGATCTCTCTCATTTTCAATCCAAAAACCTTGGGAAACAGGTACTCCTTAACTTTGAGACGGTCTCCTTTCCTTCCATCATCATCATCATCATCATCATCATCATCATCATCATCATCGTCATCATGCCTTTGAGTCACTCTTGACTCCTGATGACTGCCTGGACAAGTCCCTGGAGTTTTCTTAGCAAGATTTCAGGATTGGATTGTCACTGCCTGCTTCTAAGGGCTGAGAGAGTGACTGGCCTAAAGTTACCCAGGTGGCTTCATACCTAAGGCAGGACTAGATCTCACAGTCTCCCAATTTCTAGCCTGATGCTTTAACCACTAAACTAGTCATTAACCTTTTTTTTTTTTAATCCGCACTCAATCGTTACCGATTCTGCGGCGACTGCCTGGACGAGGCCCTGCAGTTTTCAAAGCAAGGTGTTTCGGAAGTAGTTTGCCATTGCTTCCTTCCTAGAGCACAGCCCAGCTGGCAAGCGCAGGAGGAGGGGTTTCCGTTGCTTCGCGCCTTTTTTGGGCATGCACGGCTAAGCGCCGCCAGCATTTTCCTCCCACTGGGGTGAGAGTATCCATTTATCTACTCACGTCAGTTTTCGAGCTGCTGGGTTGGCAGGAGCTGGGGAGGAAGCAGGAGCTCGCTCTGCTGCGTGGAGCTGGGCTTGAACCGCTGAAGTGTCGACCATTTCTGGCTGGCCACTTTCAGCGTCATTAAGCCGCTGCGCCATGGCAGAATTAGACAAAGCATTCCAGGTACAACATAAGATAATCTTGTCCTTGGCAAACTCCAGTGAAGTGAAACCATCAACAAAGGGTGTGAGTAATGGTGGTTCAGAGCCTATATAAGCTAGTCAATCCCCACCCCCCACCCCACGGGATGGAACTTGGATGCAGACCTAAACAGGAGGTTGCTGCATATTTGCTAGCTTTGAAGGGGTCCACCCACCATCTCTTTGGGGTTCCCTATCTGGCAGAAGGGTGTAAGGTCTTACTTTCTTTGTTTCCTGTATTCTTGAATATTCTTTGATTCTTGCCTTGTGTTATGTTATATTCTTGGCTATTTCCTGACTGCTGTCTCATGTAATGTTATTATGCTATTTTCTTATACTGACTTGGAATAAAGACTTAAGGACTCATACTGTGTGGTCATTGCTTTTGAATCCAAAAGAATCTCTGCGTCCCCAATATTTTGGGCAGGGGAGAGAGCGATACATAGACAGAGGTCATGCACAGCTCTGACCCTTTAACTGGAATACTGCAACTGAATCCGAGACCTTCTACAGAAAAGGCATGTGCTCTACATTTGAATTGTTGTTCCTCCACCTTAGGACGCAATCCTATGCAGGTCTTCACCAAAGTTAAGACATACTTAGTTTAGTGGGGTTTATACTGGACATTGGAGGTGAGGTCCAACATCACTTTATAACAGTGTATCTTTCTTCTCCCTCTTTCACCACTTCCCATGCTCTCAAGATCTGCCCCAGAGAGCTGAGATTACTCAGGAGCAGATTTTGAGAGCTTGGGAGTGAAAACTACTGTATAGTTCAATGGATCTCAACTATTATACAGGATTAAATTACTTTAGGATTTCCCAGTCTAACATTAACACTTTTATAATAAGATCATTTACATAAGCTATCAAAAACTCCTTGAAAAGGAGGGAGGGAGGGGGGGTACACAGTTACTTTGCCTATTGTATCATTATCATCTTTCAGCCACATGATTTTAATCAGTAAAAAATAGGCAGAAATTACAAGAAAGTACAGTAACAAGCACCAAGATAATCTTAGTGAAATGCTATGCTAAAGTCTTTCTTAATGTTTCTCAACAGTTTTCAACCTTTGCAAAAATTATCCCATTTTTCTACCTCATTCTCAAGAAGCTTTAGAAGGTCTTTAGTATTTATTTGGGGAGTATTTTGAGCTTTTTTGGGGGGGGGCAAACTGACAGAAGGTACAGTTGTTTTCTCTTATATAAATCTCCTCTGTGGAGGAGTTGCACTATCTTCTCTTTCCTTGAGGTTGAATAAAAATGTGGGAAGACAGGAAGGCTGCAGGCTGTTGGTGAAATGTGTTGGAGAAATGATATATATATTTATAAAACATCCATGCAACCTCTTCATTACTAAGGCAAGAATTCCACATTCCATTCATGAGAATTTCACCAAAATGTTTTTATTTTGGGGGCGGGGGAATCAAAAGCAATTTATTTTCCATCAAATGAAATTGAAATAGTGCAGCAGAAATTTTCAGCACAGCAATATGTGCAATACTGTGATTTTAAGGAAAGTTAGTACACTATCTTTGGGGTTTCATTTTTTTCAAAGCAGCACAATTAATCCAAATAATACCCTGATAAGAAAAAGAGGCAAAAGAAGAGATTCCATATATCCTCATTAAGTATATACCCCTGAAGAAGGAAAGCAGAAGAAATCAGAGCCCTTCCCCTTCTCAAGAGTGGCCAGAGGGATTTTAGCTGCCCCAGGGATGTTCAAGCAAAATAGATCATTATTGTAGTCAAGGCTGATTGATGATTTCTA